TACTTTCGAGACGTAATCTCACTCTGTTGCCTAGGCTGTAGTGCAGTGACCTGATCTCGGCTCATTGCAACCTCCTCCTCTAGGGTTCAAGCGATCCTCCTGCCTCAGCCTCCTGAATGGCTGAGATCACACCCAGCTAATTTTTAAAATATTTTTAGTAGACATGGGGTTTCACCATGTTGGCCAGGCTGGTCTTGAATTCCTGACCTCAAGTGATCCACTCACCTCAGCCTCCCAAAGTGCTGGGATTATAGGTGCGAGCCACTTCTCCCAGGTGAGAAGCACTATTTAATAGTCCAAGAAATCAGCCCAGTCAGAGACCAGCAGGCCGATATGAGAGAATAAGCTGGGTCATCTTCTGAGCAGAGTTACCTGACTGGACAGGGGACAGAGACGCTGAGTGGGGGTGGATGAAGGTGGGTGCTGACATTTTGTTATTAACTCCCTTGGGCACTGCTTTTGGTGATTGCTGTCCATCATTTCTTAATCCTCAAAATAAGCCCCACATTACTGAGGCATGGACATGTCAGTAACTTGCTCAGGATCACAGCTAATGGTTCCTGAGCCCTGCACCCACTTTACCACCCCATGTGCCTCTGTACTGTAGGGAGGACCCTTGGAAGCAGGAGCCAGGAACCAGATGCAGAAACTAGACCTTCCCAAGGGGCCCTAGCACCACGACCCTAGCCCCCACTCCATGCCAATCACTGCCACAAGGACTTCTGTTGAGGCACTCAAGGTCTCTGGTACTTAGGATACACAGCTCCCTCCTATCTGCCCAGTATGGTGCATCTGACAACCTGGGTCTGGCCATTCTTTTTTGCTTGATACCCCAGCCTCTCTGTTAGATGAGCATAAGTGAGGGCTGCAAATTCCTGCCTGCAGGAATAAGGGGGTGATTTTTTTTCCTTTTTTAGTTTTAATTTTTTTTTAATATAGAGACAAGGTCTCGATATATTGCCCAGGCTGGAGTGCAGTGGCTATTCACAGGCACCATCCCACTACTGATCAACACGGGAGTTTTGACCTGCTCTGTTTCTGGCCTGGGCTGGCTCACCCCTCCTTAGGCAACCTGGCGGTCCCCCACTCCTGGGAGGTCACCGCATTGATGCCGAACTTAGTGCAGACACCTGATCGGCATAGCACAGTACAGCCCAGAACTCCTGGGCTCAAGCGATCCTCTTACCTCAGCCTCCCGAGTAGCTGGGACTACAGGCACAAGCCACAGTGCCCAGCCAAGGGGTAATGTAAAAGCTAAGTGGGGCCAGACTACTCAAGAGGCTGAGGCAGGAGAATCGTTTGAAGCCAGGAGTTGGAGGTTGCAGTGAGCCAAGATCACACCACTGCATTCCAGTCTGGGCGACAGAGCGAGACTCCATCTCAAAAAAAAATTAAATAAAATAAAAAAGCTAAGTGGGGGCCGGGCGCGGTGGCTCAAGCCTGTAATCCCAGCACTTTGGGAGGCCGAGGCGGGTGGATCACGAGGTCAAGAGATTGAGACCATCCTGGTC